AAGTTGGCAACACTGCCACAGAGCGAGCGAACACCAAGGGACAGCGCCACCAAGAGTGCAGGATCAGAAGAAGATTCTAATTCTAATAGGGAAACAACCATAGGAATCTACATCATAAAGTCAAGAGATGCCAGTGGCATCCCTGAGGATGCCATCGGGATAGTCCTTGAAGGCCAGAGAGTCTTGCAGGATTTGGATAACTATGCCCTAGCAGCTTCAATGCTGTTTGGACTAATGTACACTTTGAACCTGACCTACCCACTGGAACTGAAGTATACCTTTGACGTATTATAGAAACTGGTTATGGAGCTCAAAAGGAACAGCCTTTCAAAGAAGGCCCAGGTTTTCAGGAACAGACTGTACGATTGAACAGTTTTCCAGTTATGATGTGGGAACAACATGTTTACCTCTTCGAATATGTACCATCCTTTCTTTTAAGCCAACACTGGTAAAGTTGCAGTAGCTTATTTTTTCGCCACTTTTCAACTTTAGGGCCTTTATTACTGCAGTATTCAGTTTTCACTTTTCAAGCCATGGCTCCTTTGAAAAAAAAATAAAATCAAACTTTGAATGTCCATTCTTTTCAATGGAAATAATGCCTTGCACCAATTTCACCAGTTTGCAATTTTTTTTCCAAGGAGCACTACTACAAACAGATTGCATGGTCTCTTATTAGTTATTGTGATGTTTAGTGATAGAAGCAAGGCAGTACTAATCAGTTTCGGTCTTTTGGTTTTCTACCTGTGGGTTATAATGTTATTTTAAGCCTCTTCTTTGTGTCATTTTAATAATTACACCCCTGTTGCCATATTATCTTATTTCTCTTACATTTAAAAAACAATTTTTTACATAAGCATGATGTCATAAGGCCCTACAATGTTGAATTCAGGTTCCAGCAGATAATTTTGAAGAACGTTGTGGAATGTTTTTGAAGAGATGCATTGTGAAAAGATGACTCATGTATATTTTGGAAGCCTGAATTGAAAGTCTATTGTTACAACTGTGTAGTATTTTCAAAAATACAGGTCGTTGTTCAAAAATGTTTTGCTTATTGCTTTGATTGAAGAGAAAGTGTACAGTGTCATATACTGGGTTGCCTGTGTCGAGCGGGTGGGTGTTGCGGCTTTACGCCACCATGACATGCTTTGCGGCAGGGCTGTCTATGTGCAGTTCTTCTCTTAGCTGCCACACCCGTTGTTGTGCTGTTATAACCCATGCTGGATACACGTTCAATAAAGCAGCATCACAAGAAAGCTACCGAGTGGTCATTCTACATACAGTACATACAGTAAGATCAACCTTAACCTAACAACTGCCTGTCTCTCTCCAGTTCTTCATTCAGTGTCTCTCCTTCAGAAGTCTTCCTCCTCTCCAGTCAGCTGCCACGCTACAGGTTTCTATCCTGACAGAGCCGTGATGTTCTGGAGGAAAGATGGAGAGGAGCTTCATGAAGGTGTGGATCTGGGAGAGATCCTTTCCAACAATGATGGGACCTTTCAGACGAGTGTTGATCTCAATGTTTCATCAGTCACACCTGAAGACTGGGAGAGAGATAGTGTGAACAATGACATCATCACCAAACTGGACCGAGCAGTGATTAGGACCAATATGAGTAAGACTGGAGCATTTTTACACAGTAGTTATTAATACTACAGTATTAACGTAAAGCATCAAACTGAGTTGGCACTCAGTAGTTCCACATAATCGCTAGAATTATTTATTTAGAAGAGGACAACAAGATTCTCACCAAGCACTGTAATCATTCATCAATACAAGTTATTATAACACGTATAATAATATTAACATCAAAACCCTTGAAATGAATGCAATAAAATTTTTGTCTTGTGTACAAAAGACAGCAAACACAAATTACTCTCCTTTGTGCATTTGTCTCTGACTCTGTGACTTCATGTTCCAGGTCTGTAGACCTGACCGCGCAATGATCTCTTCCTGTGTTATGTGTTATGTTGCTTGCTGTGTCTCCATGATCATCTTTTCACTCAAAACTTTCTCCCAGCTTGCTGTGGCAGATAAGCATGTCATGGCCCTGATTCTGTTTCTTCCTGTCAACTTTTCTTTTTTCTGCTCAGTTTTGCAAAGTGCTTTCACACAGAGTATTAATTGATTGATGATTTCTTTCTATAATGGTGTAAGTTGATTGAGACAATATTGGATATGTTGACCTTTTACCAATTTTACCACATTTACTAATCAAATCTCTAGTACTAACAACTCAGTAAGATGGTTCACTGAAGTGGGGACACATGATAGATAACTGAAGTGAGCAAAAAGTAATGAGGTACCAACTGTGGAACTGATAAATCTTATTATTTCAATCAGAGATATAAGATGCATCAACTACCAGGTCCTTACTGATTTGTTCTTCACTTATTCTTAAGTAACAGCACAAATCTATTATTAAAGTCTTTCCATATTCTATTCAACAGAGAATCCCACTGACATTGGAGCTGCAATCATTGTTCTAGTTATCGTTTCCATTGCAGTTGTGGTAATCGTGGCAGCCGTTACCAAAGAAGAAAGGTGAGATCTCAGTTAAGGCAATGCAGAGTTTATTTTTTGAATTTGTGTTTTAATCCATACTCCCAAATTTGCACTTTTTAAAAATATATACAGCCAGCTCAAAAATCAAAACACACAAACAGGTTATAGAATTTGGCATTTAGTATGTGAAGAAGAAATATGTTCTTTTTGAATGCAGCTGTCCAAATCCCATAAATCCCATCCCACATATATAACATAGATAACACATAAAAAGTTTATAAGTTAGACAGTTTAAAAAAATGTTATATTTACTTTGTCACTTCACGTCATTTCTGATAATTATGTATTATTCATGGCTTTTTGCTAATGTAGCTTCTCTATATTTATCTTCTAACTGGTTTGACTGACACTGCTCACTTGTTGAGCGGGGCAGTGTTTGTAAACACAAAAAGATAATCACTTCGTATTATACCTTTAAAAAGGCTAGAACATATCCAGACACAACAGTTCCAGACAGTAGATTGCCTTCGTGTGGCCGTCTTCACCACTTGGAGAAATGTTCCCACTCGCCTCATGGAAACGCTTACATCAAGTATGCCACAATGAATTTTTGAAGTGATTAACAATAACGGTGGAGCTACTCATTATTGAGTTCATGTTTGGAACTTTGATTTCTGTTTTGGGGAGTTTATGGGTTTTTTTGCAGGTGTGGTCCTAAACTTCTGATCAGCTTTAAAACAGCCTGTTTCAGTTTAAGTGTTTTTTTCAATAAATTGCATGCTCAAAAAATGTTTTGTCTCACTCTCATTTCTTCTTGTTGCGTGTTGAAGCTCTACTTGGAACCTTGTGAAGATCCAACCACGCAAAATATGATTTTTTTTGCCATTTTTCAACTGGTCTTTAAACTTTTGATCGGGACTGTATGACAAGTCGCACTGACAAAAATCTGCTATGAGCCCTAAAGGGAGCAGCCAAAAGATTTACAGAGTCTCTGCTGCCATCTCTTAGACTTAGGATGAAAACTTTTTTTTTTTAAACAAATCAAGCTTTGAAGAAATGACAGCCATAAACCCATTTCTGCTCTAACATTACTTACTACTCAAACATCCCCATAGTTTTATTTGTGTCAGGGACCTGGATCTGAGCGACCCAGGATCCATGAGCAGTTATGGACTGATATATAATGTATGTTTGCTGCACTGTACTGCTGTTCTTGTGTTCTCCATGCTTGTATGTATAGGCAAGTGGGTGTGTCTGTGAGTGTGGCTGAGCACTGGGTTGGGGCGCTACTTAAGAGTATGGCCGAGTGCTCCTCGGCGCAGGATTGTTGTGTGAGACTCCACGTCAGTGGTCTTTGTGAGCCAAGTTAAGTGAGTGCATACCCACAGTGGTTGAGTGTCCTGATGGTTGCTTCTTTGTTATTTTATCCAGGAAGGGGCGTGGAAGACAAGAGCACAGGGTGCCAGGACACACAGGAGGGGAAGAGCACGGAGCACGGACTTGTGGGTGGAAGACATGACACGGGAGTCAAGGGAACACATGGGGATTTATTATTCTGTGGATTGTTTACACCACTGTAAATAAATGCACTGTTTATCATAAAGAGTCCAGCATTTGGGTCCTTTTTCCTCACATCCCCACGGTTGGCCAGCGCTAACCGTGATAATTTGTGAGTCTACACAGTTATGAATCCACAGTACAAAGATAAATTCAAAACACAGTTTGCACTGAAATAATATACAAACACAGCCTTGTGTTTGCATTCAAGTAGTGAGCCATATAATGTCCATTCAACAAGTCAGCGAAACAATATCAGTGTGCAAATCAATCAATAATAAATAAAAAACAAATGCATTAATACTTCAATATGTAAAGTCAAGGTCTTATAATTACGTCTTGTTTCAGGGTCCCCATTGTATTCCAGATAATGGCTCTCTCCATTTCAACGCATAATCTACCAGAAGAACGAATGGTTATCACAAAGACTAAAAATCTTCACGTTAATAGCATAGATCACATAAGAAAGAATAACAGAATATGCTTTACTTACCAGATCGAAGAATTATGGAGAAATCTGAAACACAAAAAATTAATGTCTCTGTCCCCTTGTTGAACTCTCTCCTAACACACTTAGAGGTTTATAAAAACATTTATTCTAATACTGTTTCCACTTTGATTGTAATCTTAACACTTTTCCCTTGTTGTGTCAAAGTACTGAAATATACAGGAAATGACGCTCCAGCCTGAACAACATTATGTTCAATTATAGTTAAACAAAAGTAAAACTTCCGTCAACATAACCCTTATAAGACTAGATATCAGAATATGATGTAAACATCAGGTACGCAACAATACGTGACATACATTATTATACCATGTCATTATTTAACAAAAATGCAGAAGCAGTCCTGTGAGAATCTAAGTACACCCTTACTGCTTCAATAGGAGTTAAGATAGTAAGTAACAGCCAGATGCTGCTAATTAAATATATGTGATTAACTGATTATAAGTGTGAACACCTATCAAAGCAGAACAATTTTTTCAGATTGCTGGTCTGGAACATTCATTGTCAATTATTTTATTCTGTTCATTCACTGTATTGTGGGAAACCATTGTCAAGCTTTGCAATGTGTGGACATTCTAGCAAATTCACTAGAAGGGCAAATGGTGTGTAAGGTTGTGGCGTAGACCCAGATGCAGACAAAGAAAACCATTGACTTAACTGAAACTAACTTATATTGTAGTTGTGGCAGCAAACAGATAATGCTGTAGGAAACGTAAGTTCAATAATCCAAAAAATAGCATGGAGCAACGCAAGGACCGACAAACAATACAAAACCACAATGAACAGTTGGAGACAGAGAGAATAAATAGAGCCATAGGACAACAAGCTAAAAATTAAGACGGACTTTTGCGAGATCTCGCAAAAGTCCGTCTTAATTTTTTTTTCTCCCATGTCACCTGCGGGGCTCCGTAACAAGCACATGGCCAATAGGTGGGAAAACAGCTGACAACAATTAAGGAGGACAAGACATGGAAAAATTAAACAGCACACAGGGGACAAAGACTAAAAAAATAAAATGGGAAATAACAAAAAACGGAAACACAAACAGGGACGACGATGACTTGACAATGGGAACAGAGAACTGCTGATAACTGTAATAAGGAATTAATACAAACCAGAAGTCAAGAGCACAACCCAGCTAATCATGGTATTAAGAATAGAGATTAAAACATAAATTGTCACTCTAAGGGGAACTAGAAACAAACACAAAGGAGAAAACAGCCTAAGCAAAAGCATAATATTAAACCAAGCCTAAATTAGTTAAAACAGAGGACAGACAGAAATTGTAAGAATGGAAAACGCTGGTTGAAAACCCAGGATCACGACACTGTGCCATGTTCACACAAAAACAAACAAACCAAGAGCTAGATTTTTTACTTTACAGGCCTCAGTTACCATTCTAATGTTAAAGCTGATAACAAAACAATTAGAAAAAGACCGAACAAATAGTTTTAAAGGATTACCATGAGAAAGTCTCTTCTCATTAAAAAGAGTAAAACAGCAGAACTTAGGTTTCCAGTGCTTAGGACAGATAAAACTCTGGTTGTCTTCCATAATGTGTCTTCTGGCCCGTTTCCCTCTGTTTGTCTCCACCCTCAACTGGTTGCAGCAGATAACTGCCCCTTCCTGAGTTTGGTTCTTCCTGTCAAAAATGTGTTTTTTTCTTCCCAGTGCCACCAAATGCTTATTCATAGGTTGTCGACAGATTTTAGGGGTTTCCTCTGTATTATTTTGAGGTCTCTGACTTACAACATAAAGCGGGCTGAGTGTTGTTGTGACTTGGTGCTATATGAAAACAGTTGAATTGAATTGACATATGTCATGTTATGTTGTTCATCTCACATTGAACAACCAAATGTTAATTTTTGTACTGACCTGAGGTTCTATTTATATAATGTATATAATGTGAAGATTTGAGTTAAATGTTTTGTTTGCTTACCAGTATTCGTTTTGTAAAAGTGAACTCCAGTTAAACAACAAAGGATGAGAGCAAGAACCAGTGCAGCGATGGGGGAGTACTTCAATGTCTCCAAGTCTTCTGGAAAAATAAAGAAAGTTTTTACTCAACAAATTATCTAACTCAGTTTTTATTTCAAATGAATGTAACTCATGCTTACTCTTTTGATTGCTTTCGTCAACTGGAATTGCAGACACAAACAAACAAAGTGTTAATCACCATATCCAGTCTTCAAAAATATATAATGACTTAAGTCTTGACATCAAATTTATGTTATACTGCAGATAGTCACCACAGGTTTGGTTCAATTCATATCTGATTCATCATTAAAGTTTTTCTGTTGAAATAATTTTAATTTGGGGTATTTTAAACTGATGAAAATTCTATAAATGATTGTAGATAGCAAACAAACTCAAACCATAATCTTGAACCTTAGATATAAAAAGTTAAACCAACAACTGAACAACAAATTAAATCTAACTCTCTTTAATATTTTAATATATGTTTGTTCTTTTAACTTTTCTTTCACAACATCATGAATGCTTTGGATTTAAATGAACTGTTTTTGGTGGTAAACTGAATCAATAAAATGTTATAATCGTTTAATGAAAATACCATATACATATACAGATCACCTGTAATCTTGTACACGATGAAAACAAGGACTATGATGAGCAGAACAAAAAAAAAACCACGGAAACTTTGATGTAATAATCACCGTTCTCTTCGGGACTTGTACAGATTAAATAATCTGGAAAGACAAGACATCCATCAATCCAAAATTGTGTATCTGTATAGATGTATAACAGTTATTACATCCACACTACCACACAAAAAAATGCTTTTCCATTTGTCTGCTGGTCTACTTCTTTGCCAAGGATTTATAATGAAAACATGAAGCATGTAGATTTCTTAGGTTTAAAGCTATTACTTTCCCAAGATCTGGTCCTGATCACACACACTAAATCCATTATTTTGGGCTTCACTCTTACCTCTGTTACTCTTGATCACTTTTTGGTCCAGTTTGATGATGATGTCTTCTTTGACAGCAGAAAGCTGAAACACACAGTCATACCTTGACCAGTCCTCAGGTGTGACTGATGAAAGTTTTAGGACTACATTAATTTGGAACGTCCTGTCCTGATTAGGGTATATCTGTTTACAGTCTGTGAATTGATAAAGTTTTTTTCCATCTTTCCTCCAGAACATCACGGCTCGGTCAGTATAGAAATCTGTAGCGTGGCAGCTGACTGGAGAGGAGGGAGTCTACTGGAGGCGAGGCACTGAGGGCCAGTCTAAAGAGACCAGAATAAGGCATTATACCTTAATAGAACACAGCTTTGTGTTTTGCATATATATTCCTTTATTCCTTTCATTTGAAATTAAATGAATAACCCCTGTAGATATTGTTTCACCAAAACAGCGTTATGTGATGGAAACCTACCTGTTCATTGTAGAAAATGTTTTCCATAGCCCAGATGTTGTTTCAGCCATTTAGAACACACATTTGTGAGGTAATGGTTAATATCTGTTATTCTAATTTGCTGATTGTCTAACTTGTGTTTGACAATGCTAGCACAAGGAGTTGAAATGAGCCATGTCTGTGTCTCCTGGTTAAATTCCATAAGGTCTTCTCCATCATAACCATATCGATCAAAACTTCTGACCTCTTCAGTCTCATTGTCCCATTCACATCCATACATTCTCTGAAGGGTGTGAACACCTGAGGGACAGAAGGAAGAAAGAAGAAGATATCAAAGCAAGCTTGTTCTGCTTGGGCAAAGCAAAAGCTTCTGAACATTTTAGCTTTACAACAATACCTTCAGTTTGGCTGCAACTCCTTCTCAATACATTTAATGTGTCTTTAAAAAAATGTTGACTATGAAGACACTCTTGAGTGTACAAGTCGTTGTGTTCTTGATTGCTTTTCATGAATTCTTTAAGCCAGTTTGGTTTTGGTTCTGCTTTGTTGAGGTTGGTATTGCAGTGCACCAGCTCAGTTTCATCAGCCCACAGGACACCCACAATGTCTTGGACTCCAGATGATTCAATGAAAATCAACTTCAGGGAGTGTTTCACTGCATGAAATAAATAAATAAAAATATTATAGATTTGAGGTTGTTTTATATGTTTATTTCCATTTTGCTTAAGAAAAACAAGAGTGCAATATTTTTCCTGTTTTAAGAATAGTATTTATTTTAAATATCTAAAAGTAATTTCAATATATTTCCTCGTTCAAGAAATCAGAAATACAGACACACACACACACACACACACACTCTGCTAAAAAAGCATGTCTCCCGTTCTCGTCTGATCTCATCTTGTCACAGTCTAGCTGGCAGCCCGTGGGGAGATGGGGAAATAGGACCCAAACGCCGGACTCTTCAGTGCAACAGTGTTTATTTACAAGGTGGTGAGGTAAACAACAATAAATCCCCAGTTTCCCAGACTCCCTTCTTCCCAAAAGTCCCCGTGTAGTGCTCTCTGCCCCAGTGTCCCTGCACTCCCCGTGCTCACTGCTCCTTCTCGTCCCACACTCCTCCTGAGGGGAAAACAATAGAGGCAGCCGTTACACACTTATCCCAGCAGGCATACACTCACACTTGACTGTGCTTGAAGACTGACGTGTAATCAAACGCAATAATCCAGCGTCGGTGGAAGCTCCATCGCTCATCTAAATAGCTCCCCCGACGAGCCCAGATGAGGAGCAGGTGTGCGGCAAAGACTTCGGGTGTGGCCAGCCCTCAAGTCAGGCCACGCCCCCAGGGCTGAAGGTGCCTGTAACTTGGCCACAGAAGAAAGGCAACACACAAACACACACATACCTGCCTACATACAGATGTGCACAGGGGGAGTGCAGACAACACACCAAATAATAATAATAATAACAATAACAACAACAACAGTCATAGTCCCCACTGCCCACGGACCCCGTGTCACGGGTAATGGGAAAGCACGGACTCAGTCGCGGAGCTCAGGATGCAAAGTACACAGTGCGTTTATTTACAGTGCCCAAAAACAGTTTCAAAACATAAAGTTAAGTGCAAAGTCCAACAGTGATCTTCTCCAAACTCCCAGTGGTGCGCAGGTGAGTTTCCAAAGTGATTCTCAGAGTGTGTGTTCTCCTCCAATAGCTTAATCCACGGGCTCCTTCTCTCCAACCTCCAGCTCTGTATCTCTTCCTCCTATAAACGAGCAAAAACAAC